GTAGCATGTTTTATACTTAATGTGAATACAACTCATACTTTGTTGGCATCTTATTCTGAAAACCGGATGTCCGTCTGAAGAAACCGGATGTTGTCTCACGTTAATCTTTCCGCTATCTTTTAAAGTCCTTCGCTCGCTCCCGATCTGTGCCGTTTAAATGCGTTTCCCGTGAATTTCAGCATATAGGTGCACTAACATGTAAGTGTCTGCTGAGTTGACCACGGAGATCTGAGTGTCTGCTGACTTTACCGCAGCGATGTCCAGTAGTCTCCATTCCTCCACCGCTGCCAGTGAGCAACAGCTTTCAAAATAAAAAAAACGCTCTATAAAATAATTGTCGGCGTTAATTAATGCGTTAACGCAATAATAATGCGTTAACTTGCCCAGCACTAATAATAATACGAATGAGTTTGCAAATATATTGTGCAAAATTATTTTTTCTAACAGGCAATTAAAATTAACAAAATATTGGTGGGGACAATTGCGTCTTTCCCAAACTTTGGTCGTGACTAGTCCCTATGGACCCTATGCAAACCTACGCGCTTGTGATAAATGTCTAAAGGAGAGAGTGAAGGCCATTTTGAAATCCAATTTAATTGGAAAGATATTCAAAGATTCTGACTTCCCCGATCAAGAAGTCGTTAGCGAAACGTTAAAACACAAACGCTACCTCTATGTAACCTCAGTTAGGTAGACAACGAGCTACAACCTTAATTTAATCAGAACGGGCCGTCCTCTGAGCTGGACGAATAATATTGGTCTCAATGTGCGGCTGGCAGCGAGAAGAGTGCGCAGTGATGTCTACAAAGTGCAATGCGGAAATACAATATTCAATAGCTTCACTGTCATGCAATGTAATGTAACCAAAATCAATTCATACATTAACAGGCTGCTCTTGGTTGTACCTCAACATCAATTTTAGAAAAAAATGCTTTTGATTAATTGTGAATTCTTATTGGAAAATCATTTCAATAACTCCACTCTTATGCAGTGTAGCATTACCAAATTCTTGTCTTGTGTGTCATCCGGCCTAATGACATCAGCAACAAGAGTACCGTTGGATCTTTTCTCCAACACAAAGGCATCCTTCAGGAGAAAGCAGTCACATGTTTTGGCCGATACGTAGCGACAATTCTGTTTTTGCCGCCTTGTGGGTCTTTTGTGATGTTCCATCTCAGCCAATCTTTTTGTCACCTGAGAAACTGGATTTTTACTGTTCCTCACCATTTTTTCAAATGGGAAGGACTACACCTCGTTCAGTGAACAGTTTAAGTGTGTTACATCTTCGTGCAAATGCTGCACAATATGGACAGCATAATCAAGATATGCCTCCCTCTTCTGAGAATCAGACTCGAGGAGGATTGACATGCCCACAGTCAGTGACAGAAAGTGTTCGAAGAAGTTGTCCAACAAGATGTCCCGGAGAACTACAGGCCCTGTGTACAACAGGAACTAGCGGAACTCTGTTGCCTTCCAGCGACCAACGTCACGCAAAGAACGAGGTAGCCTTGCTCCGTTGGCATGGCTCCCTGCAGCCTCATCATGTGTTGTGAGATTTCCTCCCCGAGTATTGGTGCCAGTCTGCAATTCTCAAGTCCACGCAACAGATAAATAAGCAATATTTTCACCACACCAAGACAAATGAGGTGCATGCAGTCCGAGGCAAATTGCTTAACGCACAGGACTGCTGCACTGCTGAGAGGTGATTTTCTGATGGTCTGCATATCACACCTGATCACATCTGACCTGGACTCATAAGTATCTTTGGAGGGGTAGCTGACCCTTCTCTGGACACTAATGGCAGTTGCTACACACCGCTTGCACCCTTGTAATCCATTATGCCCAGTAATGCACTTTAGGAAGGCTCTTGCAGGGGCATCACAGACAAAGGCCTTCATTTTAACCTTATGCAAGGTGCCTTGATAGAGTAAACCATTTTGCTGCCTGTAAATAGTCCTCAACTGGCGTGGGCTTCTCTGTAGCACAAAATAATGCAACCAGGAATGATTTGGCATTTTGGAATGCCGCTAATATTGGCCAAAACTGCAACTTGGATGACTTGAAAAGAGGAACACCATCAACTTTTAAAACTAACTCATTGTCTCCTCTGAAATTCGGACAGTGTAAAGTGTTGCAAGATGCCTGTCTCTAATCCATAATATAAATACTGTCCGTTGCATTTGTCTACACGAGTAACTGCACATGGGGTAGAAAGTAATGTCAGAGCATCTGCGGGAAGGTGAGAACCATGTTTTCTGAGAACGTGGAGTAGTTTGTTTAAACTTCTGCGTTTGTTTTGCGTTTGTAGCCCAATCTGCCAAGTCTTTGGATAGATTTGGAACTTCATCTTCAGATCCTGTAAAAACAAGATCAGGTTAAAGAGTCACTGGAATCTGGATACTAATTATACCCTAAATCAGCCCCACCTCAGTCATCGTCACTTGATGCCTCTTCTGCGGAAGCAGCAAACCCTCGTGTGGGAAAGTGTGTAGAACACCCCTCGAGTGCAGACATGGCTGAGTCCTCTAGTACAGACGTGTTGGAACCCTCATTTACAGATGTGCTGGAACCTCTGTGTGCAAAAGATCCCTCCTGTCCACCATCAGTTGTGTTAGAAGTAGCTAAAGCATCAATTTTGGCTCGTCCCCTCCGTTTTTTCAAAGAATTGGAATCCATGATTGAGCAGACGTTTAATTACTGTAATGTAAAATTGAGTTGTGTTAGATTCAGCTTGTGTTGAGTTTTGAGTAATTCAAGTTAATTTGAACAAATCACACGAGTGTTTCATGTAGTTAACTTACGTTGTGCATGTTGTCCCTGTGGGTGTTTGATAAGGCACCTGTAAATAAAAATAGTTACAATTAGTATATATTAGGTTGAATTACATTATTAGATTAACAGATAAATGTAATTGGAATCAGTTAGTTACCGAGAAAAATACATGCAATTAAATAAGTTTCTTAACAAAATGTTGGTGATTACAAAGGGCTTACACCCAAATATATTCTTTTGATAAAAGGCTCGGACTAGAATACATAAAAAAGCATTCATTATAGTTCCCTTTTCCAATCTTAAATAAAGTTATATTGAAGAACTTTAATAAAAGTTCAATGTTGAGCAGTGTTGTGAGGTTCACACTGCCTATTTAAAGTGCTCGTTTTCAGCATTATTGCCCGGTTTAAAGAAGTTATACAAAAATAATGAAAAAGTACTCCTGTAATAAGTAGCTAACTTGTCATTAATAAAGTAAATTCAGCATACTTATTAACTATTCATCTGTAAGCTATTACATTTCTAGAGTAACATTCTCAACACTGTACTACTGTCTAAGGGGGATCAGTCTCACTTCGGGTGCAAGAGGTCCCGGGTCCAAATCCCGGACGAGCCCCCAATTGTGTTACGTCCCTTTTTCTACTGGTCCAGGGGATGAGTAGGACGAAAACACAACAACCCAAAGAGTCAAATTCAACCATAAACAATATTTATTTTACTCGCGTACATTCCAACAAAAGTGAATCTTAAATAGAGTGGGAGAGGATGGGACATGGCTTTACTAGCTTATCTAATTTTACTCCACCAAAAACAAACAGGGGGCACCGACGAACACACCTAGTGTATCTAGACAAAGAAAACTACGTGTTTGTACCAATGTAAAGGGTACCCCAGACTCACCTACTGTCCGTGACCTCCCACCACAAACCTGAACATGTATTCTCAGTCACCGCATCAACGGAACTGAACAAAATGAAGAGCAAGCTGAACTCTTGAGGCTTCCTCCTTTTATGCTTGGCTCCCACTCTGCTGATTGGCCAGCCTGAAGTTGGTGCAATGCACGGAGCAGCATGACCGACCCCCACAGGTGGAACCCAATCACTTGATTGACACAGGATAGGAAATGAGGGAAAGAAAGAAGGACTTTGGATGTTGTAGTGGTTTATTCAGACACGTGGGAAAATCATTTGGAACGTATCCATGAACGGTTTACTCGTTTGGCAGAGGCAAGGCTCACGATAAACCTGGCAAAGTGTGAGATTGCCAGGGCGACCGTGACCTACCTCGGTTGGCTGGTCGGTGCAAAAGTTCAGGCCATAGAGCAGTATCCAGTTCCAACAACAAAAAAGGAGTTTATGTGTTTTCTTGGCCTTGTTTGCCATTATAGGAGTTTTTGTAGGAACTTTTCAAGTTGTGGCACCGCTCACTGATTTGCTCAAGGGTTAGGCTAAATTTGTCTCGTCACCGGGCTGTCAAAAAGCATTGGAACAGGTGAAAACACTCCTCTGCTCTCCCGGTTCTGGCTGCTCCACGCTTTGACAGGCTGTTTAAAATCTATGTGGACGCCAACTATGTAGGCTTGGGGATAGACAAGCCTGTTAGTTTCTTCTCAAAGAAGTTTAACTCCTGTTTATTTATTTATTCTGTTTTTGAAAAAGAAGCGCTAGGGCTAATCCTGGCCTAGAACACTTTGATGTGTATGTTGGTGGCAGTGGTACCCTTGTAGTTGTTCACACTGACCACAACCCACTGACCTTCCTAAACTCGTTGCAGTGTTCCAACCAGAGGTTAATCAGATGGTCAGTGTTTTTGCATTCTTACTGCTTGGATATTCATTATGTAAAGGAGACTGACAACGTGGTGATGGGCGTGTTGTCCAGGGCTCCCCAGTAATGAGGGTTTACAGTGTTCGTCTTCTTGGTTCTCCTCTTGTCCTAACCGCTTAAACTGCTTCCAAGGTGCACCGGTTGTTACGGTGGGAACCTGGTGCAAGGGATGCTGGACTGCTGGACACTGGTTCACCGAAGATACTTTTCAAATAAGATAACATTTGGTAAAGTATATGGGGTTTTGGGATTCAGACAATTTCTGGTGTTTTGGAGTTTTTCTTTGGTAAAATACATTGTAATAAAGTTATATTTTGGTACTGGGATTCCCTTCAGGGCCCAGCTCTTATGGAGCGGGGTGTGACGGTTCCCTAACTTGTTTACTTGTATGTGTTTCTTTAAGGCAGCAGGTACCCGGAGGTGGTGATCGCCCTGACTGGAGGCACCTGGGCCCGGTGCTCTCAAAGTATAAAGCTCTGCCTTTCTGGCAACGAGGCGGCACGTTCTTCACCACCGTGCATTGTTGTTGCATGACGTGGAATAAACGACTTACTTTTGACATCCGTCTGCATCTCCCTCTCTTGTGTCATGGCTTCAGAGCCAGGTCGGACATCTCCAAACAGCAGACAGTTTGAGACTGCAGCTGGTGAACATAGTGGCCAGATCCTCTTTTCTGACATATGAAAAACGTGTGCTGATGATCCTCTACCTTAGACAGTGCAGGTCAGAACACTTGACATTACAAGACACAACAGGATGACGAGAGCTGTTCTGTAATGAGGGTTCAGGGAGGTAAAAGGTCTCCGGAGATATTTGGAGCCTGATGCAGATTTACAAACGATAAGCCTGTCTGGATGTCAGGTTTGTAGACGTCCAAGAGGAAGAAGCAGCTCCTCGTTAGTGTCGACAATGCTCTGATGTCCTACCGATGGACCCACTGCAACTCTCAGGACAAAAATACATGAAGATCCATTTTGGTAAATGATCAAATGGTAATTTTATCAAATCAAACTACAGAATATAGCAACCACACAAGATTTGTACATTACATTCCTTCAATAAATATTTAAAGAAGTATGAAGGAAAACTATTTTACAAAACGCCTCTTCAAATGATACAACAAAAGTGTTGTTCAGTAACAATAAAACAGGTCTACCTCTTAATGACGGTGTTAATACGTGTTATACCACAATTCTGAAATGTTTTCTCCTTTTGCCCAGTAAAACCTTGAAATATTACTATGTTACAGTGACTAATGCCTACCAATAATTAACTCCTGAGTACAGCCTACAAACTGGTATGTTTTTGCTATATTGGAGAGAAATATCAGGTAAAGTTTCAACCACTTTATGCTGCACTTGAACCCTAGACGAATTACCAGCCAGTCCAGTCAGCTTGCACATGAACAGATCATTCAAAGATTTTGATAGAAAATACAAAACTACAAAGTCTATCAAATACATTCATAAGAAATACTGCCCACCCTGACTAGATCACTTTATCTTCCATCATTTAACAGTGGGCAGTTTCTCTACCAGGCAGTGAATGATCAGAAACAGCAGTAATCTGTACATTTGATATACTTTAGATGATCAATTCTGTAGGACAACTACACCTAATAATCATTCTCATATTAAAGTACCAAACAACCTCATAAACAGATATTTGGAGATTTCCCACATTTTATTAGCATCAGTATTATTTTTAATTTAATTAAAAGTGATATTTACAAGATTCAACTGATACAATCCAACATTTTATTGAACATGGCCCGATGACCATGAGACCATGTTAAAGGCACTTCAGCATCGGCTTCACTTCTCAGACCCGTTGGTTGACGCTTGGTCTCCACATGTTCCAGAGGGTCAGCCTGCCAGGACAGATGTTGAGTGTGTGGTTTCAGCCTCAGTGGCTCTAGCTGTAGTTCCTCAGGTACACCAGTCTGTGAGGCTGGAACTTCTCCCGACACAGGGGGCACTCTGCCTGAGGGACGTCCAACACAAACACACGTGTGACATTTGTGTGCAAAAAAAAAAAATCAGGGTTGTTGCTCATGATTGACATTTGCCAGACTGATATAAATATTTCATTTAATTCCTTTAAAAGATACTCTTGAATATCTTCAGTTTAAAGAAAATGTATAAAACGATTCAAGCTGCCTTTTTGGGGGAATATCATTTTGAAGATGGCAGTTTGGTTTTTACATCACATGTAACATTATTGTAATGTGTTGTCTTACTGATTACTCTAATTGCATGTTTGCAGCTGGAAATATTTATTTTTCTCTGTCACATGAAACTGTTTATATTATTGCAGCCTACATTCAGGGCAAGTTGAAGCAGAAAGTATCAGCACACTATTACAGACTAGAGAGGCTTCGATCCATCGGCCGTCCAACGCAACCAGCCTGTTTCCAGCCGACCCACCACCACGAGAAGGCAGACTGAATGAAATGAGAAGCAGGAGATATGAGATGTGGATCACGTGGATCTTAACGGTTGAAATACTGGAGGTCGTGGTTCAGAACGGCTCGTTTAATAAACTCACTGATATAAGCACACGTTTCACTGAGAGATCCTCCTGAACTCTTGAGCCGCTATATCACCACTCCATTCTTGGCTGAACACACAGAGCAGTGTGCAGAGAGCTCATTCACCGGAACATAGCCAAGTGTCAATTTACAAGTTATGGAATTAATGTTAATTAGCAACATCTGAGATAATCTACTGCTGCTGATGAAAGGTGATCCTTTTGAAAGTAATGTTTGTTTGGTGCAAATCTGACACTTTCAGTATTCAACCTGTAGAGAGAAATGTAGCCTGACTTTCAAAGGCTGTTTCATCTATGGGACAATATAGGATCATATTTTACGCATAAAATAAATAGAAAAAACAATAAGTTGATTGTGGTGAATTTCTATTATAAGGATTATGATGAATATTCTCAAAGGAGTGACCTGAATAAGCTATCTAGTAGAAAGATGAATAATAGAATATGTTGTGCAGACTGCACATCATTTATTGTTTTAATGTTTGTTGTGAGTTCTTTTGAGTTGACTTTATTGTTGCCACCTGCAGCTTGTGATACATTGTTCTCACACATGGCACTTACATGCTTTTATATCAACCTGCTCATTTAAATCAAAATTAAACTTTATCACCAATAAAAAGTGAAATAATTTGATTGTATGTTTCGTTCATTAAATGAAATGTATATTTATGAGAAAGAGTATGAAGACGTTATCACCAATGAACACTCTTACAATGCTGCTATCTCTATATATTCATCTTTCTCTCTGCTGGGCAGCATTAGGATTCACTTAGAAAAGATGTGTCCTTTCTCTGATGCAATACAAGGATTTGTTTCTTAACTAAATGCATGTATCTTTTAGTGGCCTATAAAAAATATTATATTCATTTTTGATGATCAGGGTGATATCTACAGCATTTATACTTGGCCAGGATACTGGTGACATGAAACATTCATAAGGTCCCATGCATAGTTTCATTATGCCGAGCGTACAGAGTGTTAACATCCTCTTACTGTTGATCACCTGATACAAACAATAAGAAACAGAAAGCTTCTTGGAAATTCCTTCTCAAAACATGATCCCTTTCAAATCGGACACAAAAGGTTTCAGTGAGTAGCAACAAGATGCAAAGTCCTGACATGAGCCTGACCTTGGTGTTGCACCACTCTGTGATGCACTCCCAGCAGAAAAGGTGTCCACAGGGGGTGGAGGTGGAGTGTCTCCTCTCCTCCAGGCAGAGGATGCAGCTGGCTGCTCTGGGGCCGGATCTGTGTGTGCGCTGAGGACTGGAGACAGACGGGTCGAGGAGTTCAGCAATAAAACTCAAGTCATGCGTTTCATTCTTTTTACTGCTACACAACGCTTTAATGACAAAGAAACAGTCCAGCAGGTTTTTAGAGATGGTCGATGCAATATCGGCATCCGCCATCTGTTCACGAATCACTCGCTGAGGTGCTTGACCTAAAGAAATGATCGGACCATAATTTAGGGATCGGAATCCAGAACCGATTCTACTCTGCGTCTGATGTCGTTAGGCAAACACTCTCCTCCTCTTTAACACTCTTTTGTGTATATATGTTTCGATAAGTACTCATTACTAGCTGAAATATTAGTACTAATATTACTGCTATTATTCTTATGTCCCTTTTTTGAGGTCATATGTTAGGGACTGTTCTATTTTGCTCGAAATGTAAAAATAAAAAGTTCAAAAAATAAATACTAACGAAACACTTTAATCCCGAAATATCTAACTGAGCTCTAAAATTCTGCCCTGACATAAAGACCAGATGAAGATGAGACCCTTCGATCTGCACCTGAGGCGCCTGCACGCACCTGAGGCGCCTGTAGAGCTTCCACTCCTGCCTGGCTCTCTGTTTCTGTCTGAAGCTGTTGAGCTGCAGACACACGGTGACGAGCAGCTGGAGGAGGGACAGCGCCCCCAGCAGCCTGTAGCTGCTCCTGATGGTCCCGTCGTCGCTGCTGAGGCCCATCGCACGCAGCTACACACACGGGATAGAAGAGGATTTACTAGCACACATTTTGGAAGAATATTAGACTGTTAGTTTTAGCTAGGTGTACCTAATAACTGGCAACTCAGTATATTTTGACGTGGCAAAAAAAAATCAGAGATTTCTTGCAATAAACTTTGAAATGATGTCTCTTCTGGACAGAGTTATTCATTACTGTGTGTCCCAGCAGGCAGCTCAACCCATGATAAACTCACTAACTAACTACCTTCTAACATGGTTAGGAAATATATGAAAAAATGCTCAGAGTTTGGGAAAATCTGCAGATTTACTGTATGACATTGACATGCCTGAGCTTGTTGCGGTCTTCTTAATCTTTTGACATGATTATATGTATGCACGTTGTCCCTGTGGTCAAGTACCTACTCAAGTGATGGCGGAACATTGCAATAGTCGATAAAGATCGGATTAAATGGGCACTTGTGTGTCACAAGTGTGTAACTAAAATAAAAACATGTAAATAGTATTTTTATATAACACGTCACAAAAACCAATCCCCTACATAGCTGATACCAGCCGCCCTCTTGGACAGGTGATAGAAAGAGCCGCTGATGTAGAACAGAGTGGCGTGGAGTCGGTGTAGGAGGGTCAGACCCTGGTGGACGACGAACACGGCCGGCACGCACGCTCTTCTCTGGGGCTCCGACAGCAGCCCCACCGCCCTCTGCATCCACCTCCTCAGCCACAACTCCAGGCTCCACCACGGCCGCTGCCCGCCACTGCTGTGCATCTCCTGCCCGCATTCCAGCTCGTTCTCCAGGCACACCAGGACCTTGTCCACGAGGTAAGGGAAGTAGGCGTGGCAGAGGACAAAGAGGCCCCGCCTGGCCCGGGAGGGGACCCGACGCTTAGTGGGGTCCACCTGCACGATGTTGACGTACTCCTCGCCCAGGGTCTGGTAACCTACAAGTAATAATTAACTATTCATAAGACAGCTGATTAAACGTACATGAAGTTAAGACAGATTTCATGTTGGTTTGGTCGGTAACTACCTGAGAATGTCGTTAAACCATAGTATGCGATGTCGGACAGCAGCTCTATCTCTTTCCTCCAGTCCAGCCATCTTTTGGATCCTACAGAAAGAAACATTGAGAACAAGTGCTGGATTGAATACACAGACCACAGATTCATACTACATACTGACATACTACAGAAGGTTGTATTTCGATGATATCCGGTTCATCTTTTGCTTGTAAACAGTAACGTTGGTAAGTGAATTGAATAAACCCTTCGGGAAACAATAGTGTGAGATGGAGCAGACATACTGCATTAGGGTTTGGGTCTCACAAAGATCAACGCATGCGCAGAGGTAATTAACTACGTTCATACATTCACTACGTCCAATACGTTTTAATTTACGTAGCCTTACCAGTTCGAACCAATGCATGACCTTTTTTAGTAATCAGGAGCTTTTACTCTTCAACTCTGTATTGACACAATGACAAAACAGAGTTTATCTGAGTAGATACCAGTTGTTAAAAACATTTTGGGCCATTATTTCTACAGTTTAAAGTCCACTGAAACACTGCGTGGACAGCAGGAGCCATGTTAACGTTAACTGAGTAGATAACGTTACTGACCGGTGTATCCAATGTAAGAAGAGACCGCACCTAGGTAGCTCTAAAGCTAACGTGACATGTTAAAGTAAAGTAAGCTAGCTGCAGAAGACGAATGCTACTTTCCAGCGTGTTGAACAAACTCACCAGCGAGTGTTTGAAAGGCTTCGTTGGCGTTGTTTCTCAGGAAGGTTTGATAATATTCGTCCTTCTGAATGGACCGAATCAACTGGGACTGGTTTGCGGGAGCGAGCGACATTGTAAGCTAACAGAAATCTAACGTTAGTTTTTACTGGACAGTACGCTGAATGCTAGACTGTCAAACGTTCAAGATGCCACTGGGCTGCGAAAAGTACACAGCAAGAGAAGCAGCACACCGACAACTACAAGTTAACTGTCTTGTGTCCGTGGTGCGACACTCAGTCCTGATAGAGTGCATGGTCGGAATATGCATTAATACTCCCTACTTATGACTGTTACGGTTTCATGCAGCTAACTCCAACATTTTCTATGTTAATCCAGAAAACAAATAGGAAGTTGATGCCCTGAAAACACACTAAACAGACTGATAATGAAGCGCATAAATCACAGTGCCACCTACTGGCGGGAGGAGGCATTATAGGCTCACTCTCAACTAGAAACAGTGGTTTGCAGGACTTGGTGAGAACTCCCTTTTAACTTTTGGATATGAATAGAAATGGAACTTTGGTGTCATTATCAATCTTAGTGCTTTACTTAATACATATTGTAATGTTTCTGTTGTCTTCATAGCAATGTTGGTTGTTTTTATTGTGATTGTAGTAGGGCTGCCCCCTCTTATTCGATTAGTTGACTAATCAATACATTTTGTCCTATCGACTAAGATTTCTTTAGTTGATTTGTCATTTTGTTATGCTTTTCTCATGCTGAATGACTTGTTTCCAAGAAACTTATGAAAACATCTCTGGTAAACACACAATTTGAAGTGGTGCTTTTTTTGGATGATTCTTTGTGGAGGACCTCAACTGTACAGATCTGTGGATTAAATCAACTAATCGATTGGTCAATCAAGTCGTAGGATTGTTAGTTGACAAAGAATTTCTCAGCCTGAGTACAGCCCTATCATCTAGCCCATTAGATGCAATTTTCTGTTACCACTGGGGTTTTATTCTGAGGTCATAAGACAGGCCTTTGTGTAAAAATACCATATTAAGAACAATGTAATTCAGCCACAAGTAACAAGAAAACACCGTCAGGCCCATATCCAGGGTTTTAAAGGTCACACGTTCCTCCAACACAACTGTTTTCAACCAGAAATCAAAACAAAGGTCTCAAAATGATTTTTTTTGATTTTATTTATTAAGTTTAATCATACTATGTGCACATTTTATTTCCCAACATGAAGGTTGCTGATTAAATGGTTAAGTGTTGCACATTTGATGGATTATAAATGTGCAGGCAGTATAAAAACACAACCCTTATGAATATCCTAACTCATGACTAATATCCATGCAGGCTATGCAAATATCATGACATCATTTTAATTGTGTTGCTGCTACAAACACACTTATAAGAACCACTGTGCAAGTTGCTACAAGGCGCTCTTGTACCTGTGTAAGTAGGTTAGGTACACTCATTCATTCATTCACTTCACAACTCAGGCAGCTCTGCTGGGATCTGCCCGGAAAGTTGTAGAACCAGTTTTCTTTGTCTCTGCAGTGCATGCTCCCAGAGCCAGCCAGGTATACTATAACCACTACGGAGAACATCCCATTATAAGCCCACTGCTATCCTTTTACAGTGACAACCGTATCAACAGTCCGTCTCACCAGGAAGCTGAACTTTGCTCCCAGTGAGGAGGAGGAGCGGGGCTTTTCATGTTTCCTCTTAAGTTGGGAGCTACTTGTAACTTGTTGCAGATGGGAGGTGGACTGGGAGCACTCTGCCGCTTGGAATAAACCACTAAAGAGCACACATGGAGAGTCTGGATTGTGACAGGTAAGACATAAATTTGACCGGCTGCTTGCACCGTGTAACTCAACACCACACTGTGTTTGTCGTGTGAGCTGCTTTCAAGGCATCGGCCCAGACAGGACAGGACTCCGACGGCTGAGAACAACGTTGCTGCTTGTACTTTGTTGTTAACATTCATAAGTTGGACCTGTGGTGCACCTGTGGTGCTAAACAGTCTTCAGGACGTTGATTGTGTTTGGACCATGCACCCTCAGGTCAGGTGAAGGTCTGCACTGTGTGTGTTCTACATCGGATGAATTAGGTGCATTATGTTCACCGTATCGGAGCAGAGCAGATTACATTCTCAGAGGGCCAACAGAAGTAAGTCGGGGTGATGATAACAGATAAACTTCAGCATATTGTGCGGAGTTATCACAAGTTTTCGACTTCCAATACACAATTGCTGAGGTGCCGTATCTCTCCAGTCTTATTAGGAGATCTTTTCGCCGTATCATTTATTGCTGATATTTTATACTTTCAACTTCTCTGTTTTTGTGCAAGGAATTCAAATAAATTGCATTTATTATATATTTAATGTGTATTCTTTCACGTCATGAAACATTTCAAATTTTCCCTGACAATACGATTATAGTGAACATTGTATTCATGTTGAGTTGAAAGCAAAATCACTCAACTCCATTTTTTGTTTTGTGTTTGTGATCAGTTGTTCACTTTGATTATGCAAAACACAATTGTAGATCACCAAGCACATAGGGAAGAAGTCAGTGAGCAAGAATGGAAAAAATAAATAATAATAATGCTAATGATGACGATGAATAAATCCTTACAAAATGCGAAATAAAGCCAGAATAATACTAACCAAATAAAAAGGTGTAGAGACATGAACACAATAATAAGTCTATGTAAATGCACACAAAGATCAAACAACCTAAACACAGAACAGCATTTCAATATTAGTGAATCCATGCAACCTTCAACAATGACGACAGAAACAAAATATTCGAGTTACAAACATACACATAAAGTAAAAACATATGAGGCCCATAGAACTAAATAGAGAGGGAATGTGAATGTTACATTTCATACATAACCGTTCACAAGTTTGGAATCATCTGTTACATTGATGTTACATTGATGTTGTTCTTCTGTCCTTCAATAATAAATATATTAACAGAGTCAGAAACAGTATTATTCAGACACTTCCAATTAGTTGATGACCCCACACTGTAGCGCAGTTGCCCTTTGATATTGAGTTTGTTTTCCAGTCCAGAAAAGCATAAGTGACCCTCGATTATTATTCAACCACGATGGTGCATTTTGGCTCCAAATATTAAGGGTAGCCGTTTCTCTTTGGGCCCTCTGCGGTCTACACACTTAGATTGAAGGGACTTAAACAGTGATGTGTCAGTCCATCGTCTGTTCAGCCAATATAATAAGTTTAAAGAAGGGCTTCGCTTCAGCAACACGTTGCCTCTTACTTCCACCATGTTCTAAGATGCATTATTGTGAAACATTAAGCTGTTCCTGATTACATCTGCACACATTTTGATGCTAAGCTAACAGTTTCTTCTTACCAATGACTGCAGATTTCTTCTATATTCGTATTCAGCTGTTGCTCAGGGATCTTTGACTCTTTCTGTTGCCAGTCTGGTTGAACAGCTCTCCACGTACTAAACTAAATAACATGTGAATGTGAATTCATCACATGTGAAAATATACAAAAACAACACGTGCTTATCTGTGAATTAGCCCACATGTAAGCACATATACAACTGTATCATAGCAGAGATTGACAGCACTGTCTAGGTGAAACATCAGTGTCATTTATTGCTGCCTTTATCATGGTAATCACAATTGAACCTGTGTTAGTGAAGCTAAACTGAATACACAAGTACACAATAACAATAGAGCGTACAGGAGCTGGTGTAGAGTGTACGTGGGTGTCAGGAAGTTTGTAAAGACACATCCTTTAAGGACCCTGGAGACACACACACACATATACACACACACACACACACACACACACACACATTCACACACAACAGGAAGGCAGCAAATGAACTGAGGCGACACCTGCTGAGGAGACACAAAGCAAGTTATTTCCATAATTAGCTCAGGCAACATCTGTTTCAGCTGTGGTATCAAACACATGTCAAGTCTGGGATTCACTGAACTACAAATACACACACACACACACACAGACACAGGCACACACTCATTTCCTCTTGCAAACATAAAGCGTTGGTTGTCTTAGATGCATTTAGGGTTTGTGGACTTGCAGGTATTTCAAATTGAGACTTTGTCATTCAGTGGTGGCCTCAGCAGTAGATTCTCCATGCACATTATACTTTAATGCTGAAGTTCCTCAGTATACTCCAAACAAAGTGCTAGCCAGATTGCAGAACAGCATTTGAAAGCCCCATTCTGAAGACGGAGAACAGACAATCACATCTTAGCAATCTTAAGGATGCTGTTTCTTTTTTACAACTTGACATAATTATGTTCTATATACTGTAAACTCATGATTTCCTCACCTTGCATGGATTTTTTAAATCCTGGGTGTAGGAGCCAGGTATAGTCTGTGCCATTTTAGTACACCCTTTTTTGTCACTTCCGGTAATTGAGTTACGTGGTGTTGGGGATATCAGCTGCTCAGTAGTTTAGTTGGATGACTGGAAGGAGAGGGGGTGAGAGAGGGAGTCTTATTTTTTGCTGACCGCTATTTACACTATCACTATTATTATTTGACGCCCTTGATTATCTTTGCACATCAAGAGAAACTAGAAAATTCCTAAAGAAATTTTGACAGTGTGGCTTCTACTGCCCGAAGAAATCGCAAGATATACACACGCCAATGTTACCGGTAGTGTCATTCAGGTTCAATTGAGATAGCGCTACTCTCTTTTCTGCATTTTAGATTCATACTCTTGGATTGAATCTTGTATTTGTGGGGCTTTTATTTTGAAAGGGTGGGACAGTTGGGTGAGAGAGGGGGAGAGGAGACTCATCATATCAAGAATCATAATGCTTGACACTAAAATGAGAGGTGTCATCACAAGCATTCCAGTTAGAATTCATTCTGTGGGGCTTTTAATTTGAAATGGGGGGGGGGGGTTTGAGAGGGGAAAAGTCCTCTAAAAATATCTAAGACCTGAATGACTGTATGATAGAGAGATACACAGAGAGGGAGAGAGAGACAGACAGAGAGGAGAGAGAGACAGAGTGAGTGAGACAGGCAGACAGACAGGTAGATGACTGAGTGAGTGGGAGAGAGAGACAGGCAGACGGACAGTTAGATGGACTGAGTGAGTGGGAGAGAGAGACAGGCAGACAGACAGTTAGATGGACTGAGTGAGTGAGAGAGAGAGACAGGCAGACAGACAGTTAGATGGACTGAGTGAGTTGG